GGTGCTAGCCTTGAGTAAAAAGCTCAGGGACAGCCTCAGGATCAACACACACACACACACACACACACACACACATCCACAAAAAACAAGAAGTGGAGGTAGAGCACCAGCTGTGAGCAAAAAAAGTGGAATGAGTGAGCAAAGCTCAGAATTCAAACCCCAGTACCACAGGGAGAGAAAGAGAAGGGGGGGTCCTGAAACGCCCTTTCAGGGCTGGCTTGAGAGAATGCATTGGATGGGTCCTTACTGGAGTTTTAGGGGGTCTCTGGAATGTAGGTTCCCGGGACTGAAGATGCGATGTATTTTCGGGGGACTAATCTCATGCACACATAAATGAAAGTAAATAGGGTGACTAGGGATAAGAGGCGGGAGGGGTGAGAAGGCTCCCCAGGAGGACAGGGGATGGATCTTAGCGGGGTACAGAGAGCTGTGAGCATCGGATTTGAGGGGTGCGTATGTCGGAGGAGCAAGGACGGGTGAGCTGTGAGGCATGAATGGGATTGGGTTGCTCAGGGACTTGGGAAGTGGGGTGTGTGTGTGTGTAGGAGACCCCAGGGCTGCGACCGCACCGAGCACGAAGGAGACTGGAATGAGGCTGGCGTACTGGTCGCAGTAAATGACCAGTTTCTCAAAGTAGCGCTTCTGATCTTCAGCCAGCATGAAGCTGCGGGGTGGCAGGGAGGGGGGTGGAAGGGCGCAGAATTAGGGGTGCGTCCCCTCTTCCCTCCCCCGCCCCCCGCGGTCCCCGTCCCCTCCCCCCGGCTCCGTGCCCCCGCGCCCCTCCCGCTCCGGACCCCGCACCCCCGCGCCTGCCGCCCCCACCCCGGTCCTCACCGGTAGGCGGCGCTCAAGGCCATGTAGAGGCCGAGGAAGCACAGCAGCTCCCGCCAGAGCAGCTTGTAGATGCTCCCGCGCCACAGCAGCAGCAGCTGCGAGAAGCCGCCGAAGCGCGCGTTGGCCACGCGGGCGGTGTAGGTGACGGTCATCGCGGGGCGGCGGCGGGGACACCGGGGCCGAGAGAGGAGCTGGGGCGGGGGGGGCTCAGGTCGTGGGGAGGGGAAGGGGGCGCTGGGCACAGGTGTCCCCACCCCGCCCTGGGGGGCCCCGCCCAGGGCTCCCCGTCCACTCGCCCTTGCTCAGTTTCCCTTCTCCTTCCATCCCGGCTTTGGATTCTCCCCCGAGTCGCGGTCTGTGTCCTCAACACCCCTCGTCCAGGAAGTGGGGGTCCCCTTTCAGTCCTCCAATTCTGACAACTTTAGGTCCCAGTCCCCAGGCTCGCTCTCCCTCTCTCCCCCTCCCTCCTCCCCACCCCCACTCGCTCGTCGCCCTCCACCCGGTCCCATTCCCCCTCACCATGCTGCCTCTCTACTCCTTGAGTCCTCGGGGCCTCCATTACCAGTTCTTGGAGCTGTGGCGTACCCCACCCCACTTTTGGCTTGCTTTCCTCTCTCTCAGCTGGTGGAAGCCCTGAGCATCTGGGTCCCCCCCACCTCGCACCCCCAGTCTGGCCCTCCCCACTGCTGTCCACCTCCCCCATGGATTCCCCTCCCCCTTCTCCAGGGTCCACCATGACCCTGCCTCCCCCATCCAGCCACCCCCCCCAGCCCTCCAGTCCCCACCCCACCCCAGGAGAAATCTTTCCTTGAACCCCATCTGTCCTTCTCAAGCTCTCCAGCCTAGGCTTCGCTCACCTGTTTGGAGGGTGACTGCTGTGGGGACACACGGGGACAGAGACTGAATGGGAGGCTGGCTCCTGGGCTGGGTGGGGCTAAAGGCAGACCCTGGGCGGGAGGGGGCTGGGAGTGGGCGTGGGCAGCCCCTCCCAGGCCCATCCCCCCCCCCCAGCAGAGTGGCAGCTTGGCCATTGTTTGGAGAAGTTCCCCGCCAGTTTGTCACCAGGGACAGGAGAAGTCAGGGAGGGACAGGAGAAGACAGCCCGTCCTTTCCCAACTCCTCCGGGTCTCCCTCCCAGTCAGCTTCCTGGCAGGTCTGAAGCTTCTGGAATTGAGAGCTTTGGGAAGAGGGGGGAAGGAGAAGGAGAGGGGGAAAGGGTAGGGGGCTTGTCCTTCCCAGAAACACAGGCGGGCAGCTCAGAGAGGTGGAGTGACCCCACATTTACCTGTAATCACAGTCACAGAAAATATACATGGCAGACCCAGATAGAAATTTAGCTTCATGGGGCTGGGAAGGTGGCTCAGTGGTAGAGCGCTTGCCTTGCATGCATGAGGCCCTGGGTTCGATTCCTCAGCACCACATAAGCAAAAAGAAAAAGAGCCAGAAGTGGCGCAGTGGCTCAAGTGGTAGAGCGCTAGTCTTGAGCTGAAGAGCTGAGGGACAGCACCCAGGCCCAGAGTTCAAGACCCATGACAGACAAAAAAAAAAATCAGCTTTACTTATCACAATTATAGTGACACAGAGGCTGTCAGAAAGACTTCCGAAGTTCATGTCACACCTAGCCCTCTTCCCTATCTCAACAGGTAGATTATAAGGCAGAGGGACCCTGTATGCATGCTCAGCTCACAGTTACACGCTTCATACAGACACATGGGGTGAGCAGAGCCCACTAAGTCCCCAGAATTACGTCACACACATTCACATACACATACGTTCACACAGAGGCCAGAATCCTGATTTCTCCAGGACAGAGATGTATTCGGGGTGTTGAAAACTATGGGGACACCATCCTTTCTCAAGGAGGCTGAGATCTGAGAGTCAATGGTTCAAAGCCAGTCCAGGCAAGGAGTCTGTGAGACTCTTATCTCCAATAAACTACTCAGAAAATGCCAGAAGTGGCGCCGTGGCTCAACTGGTAGAGCGCTCGCCTTGAGCTGAAGAGCTGAGGGACAGCGCCCAGGCCCAGACTGACAAAAAAATAAAAAATATATTAAGGATGGAGCTCTGGTAGAAGGACCTGGAATTCCATCGCCAGCACAGAAAAAAAGAAAGTCATTCGCACTATGAGGGACTTTGTTCCTTTAACGTCTCACTATGTACAGAAGCTCGTGAAACCCACCAGCGTTTAAGGGAAGTGAACACATCACACATATCAAGCCAGCTCCCCCCCAGCTCTTCCTTCTGCTGTGTTGTATGCAAACACACCCAGACACGCACCGTCCCTCACACAGCCAGCATCGCTAGGAACACACAAACTCAGGGACAGAAGTCCAGATGCTCACTCTTTACCCGCACCCCTAGAAGGGGGGGCACATTCTTTGGCACATATGGCATTCCCATCCCCACTCTGTTTAGTAACCCCAAAGACAGTCCCGTGAGAATGGGGGTGAGAAGGGCAGAGGTTCAGGGGTCAGTCTGAACTTGAGGGGTGTGGTATGTGGTGCCCAAGATGTTCACGAACTCTTTGCATTCGCCCCTTGTGTGCTAGGATTGGCAGATACCTCTACTCAGCACCACCCAAGGCCCAGCAGGCCGGGACATTGTGTTCTCAGGTTGGCAGATGTTTGCCCCGCCCGGGGTAATTAGGATCCGGCTTAGACTGGCCACCCTCAGACCGGTGTCTCCGCCGTCCAGCTGCTGGGCAGCCTATAAACCCTAGAAAAGAGGGTCACCTGAGGTGGTGGCACCAGACGCAGGACCTGGACATTCTCACTTCAACTGTGTCCCCATGCTCTAGCACTTAAGCTGTCCTTGCTGGGGTTCACCTTCCCATTCCTGCTCACCCCCACTCTCCCAGGTCCCCCCCACCCCCCACTTCCCATCTCAGACCCCCCCCTTCCCCCGTGCCAGAGTGGTGGGCAGGCCGCCCTGACAACTTCACGGTTGATCATCCATCTTAACATCAAACAATAACAAACAGTTTCTGGCAGGTCAGTGCCTGATGCTGTCGTAAAATTCCTTCACGCTTAGGGCTGTTTGTTGGTGCACAGAGCGAAGTATGGAGCGCTGAGTCTCATTATCCAAATAAGCAAATAGGGAACCTGGCTCAGAACGCAGATTGCTGGAGCAGCTCGGATCTGGTCAGGCAGCGAGGCCGGAGCCCGGGGTCCTCATCTCGGCGGTATCCACCTCCCCCACTTGTTTATGCACACCCCAACGTGCCCACACGCGTTTGCTTGCACACACCCGCAAGCATTGCAGAGTGGAGTTGGGGGGACGCGTCTAGGCTCGTGGCTGGGTTCCCCTTACACGCACACCCGGGCAAGCCCAGACTTTGGGTGTGTACACCCTGAATACCACTTCCTGAGTCATGTGTCTTCTGACCCCCCCATGTCTGTCCCCCCCCCGCCCCCCCCAAAGAGCTCCAGGCTTGGAACTTGCAAAACACTGAAAGCCATGCCAGGTCTGGAGTCTGCCAGGCAGAGATGACCACGGCTGCCCAGGAGGTGTCAGGGGCAGGAGGGGCAGGTCAAGGGGACCCCCTAGGTGCCTCCCAGCTGCCTGTGCCAAGTGTCTGGTGAACCCCGTTTTCAACACTCAAGAAGCAGGAGGCACATGCTGCAGGGGCCCCCTCTGGAAGTGGGTCCAGCCTTTGGGGTCCCTTCCAGCTGGAAGCCTCTGCCATGGGGTTCCCCTAATCAGCTCCATCTTCCAAGGTCTTTACAGGGAAGGGCAGCGGTCTGTGGGGGGGGTGTGTGTGTGTGGAGGGGAGGTGGAGATTCTTAATCCCCAGTCTGGCAGGCCCAGCCTCAGCCCAGGGCGCCCACTAATTCCCAAACCAAACAGCAGGCTGTCCTGGGCCCACTGCCGGCTTAATCCGCTCCCCACCAGCCTGGGGCGGGCCAAGGGGCCTACACATTCCCACACTCTGAGCTTCCAGCTCTCCTCTGTCCCATTTTCAGGCTTTGATGCCCCCAGCAGGGGCTACCCACTCAGAACCAGAACAAAGCGCCTCCCCCTCCCCAGACATCCTCCTTCCAAAAGTGCCAGGATAAACACACCCCTCTGCCAGGTCTCTGGACCCCTTTAGATGGGACGCCCTTGTGCAGTGCGCGACCCATCAACTTGCATGAAGGCACCGGCGCTGCCCGGTGTCAACAAACACAGCTGTCGAAGGTTATTTTATTGAGGAGCGAGAGACAGGGAGAGGTGGGGGCGACCGCAGGCCCCTCAGCCCCACCAGGGGGAACAGACCCCCTCTCCCCGCCTCCTATTCCCCCCATGGGTCTCCCCAGTACTATGGGGGACTTTGTGCAAACTCTGCCCCGTTTGGGGAGTGTGGGTGTGGAATGGCAGCAGCGAGGGCTGGTGCGGTGCTACTGGGCGCTGGGGGGTTTGTAGGGCTCCAGGAGGAGGGCAGAGAAGGTGTTGACCTTGTCTGACCCCCGCACCTCGTGCGGTAGCAATGGCAGCTTCACGATATGGAAGTCTTCATACAGGTCCTCCATCTGCAGTGGGGACGGAGGGCAGAAAGCAGCCATCAGGGGCAGGAGAGAAGGGCAGAAGAGGTCCACACAAGGGGTTCCAGGGGAGAAGAGGGGGCCTCATAGTATCTTAGGTGGGAGTGGGGCTGGTGATATGGGGACCCTCAGGGTAGGCCTCCCGTTCCCCAGGGCCCCGGGAACCCCAGCCAGGCCAGAGGTTCCGAAATGGGGACAAAGGACAGGAGGGTCAGAAAGCGAGGAAAGAAAGAAAAGTGCTACGTTGCCCAGCTTGGGAGCTCATGCCTGTCATCCCAGCTACTCAGGAGCTAGGAAGATCCAGAGTTCCTGAGACCCATCTCAATCAGGATGCCAGGCAGGGTGATTCACACCTTTCATTCCTACTTACATTTACAAGGGCGGTATCAATAGGAGGATCGTGTTCTGAAACCGGAGCCCCCCCTCCCCCCTCAGGGAGGGGCCACAGAGAAGTCCAGGCCGGGAAGGGTGGGCATACCAGAGCCCTCCCCCCCTCCCCCCTCAGGGAGGGGCCACAGAGAAGTCTAGGCCGGGAAGGGTGGGCATACCTGGTCCAGGTATTTGGCTTGGATCTTGTGGCGGGCCTCACACATCTTGCAGGGCTTCTCGGGGTCAGGGAAGACGAGCTGGTTCACAATGATATTGTGGGTGTCAATCTTGCACTTGGCTAACTCCTGGATCAGCCGCTCCGTCTCGTATAGGGACAGGAACTCGGCGATGCACACGCAGATGAAGGTCGTCTGCTCCTGCAGGGTACCACAGAGGATGGTGAGGGACAGCCCAGCCTCCCAGTGCCCATCCTCCCGCCCGCCCCCCACTGGGCCTAGACTCACAGGGTCTTTGAACTGTTCACTGACAGAGCGGATGACGGGCAGCGTCTCCTCTAGTTTGGAGGCCAGCTGGTCTGCGTTCATGTCTCCTAGGCCTAGCATGTTGCACATCTGAGGAGAGGGCAGAGTCCCCACTTACCTGGGGCCCAGGAAACGCTCCAGATTGAAGGGGCTCAAGAAACACAGGTGTTGGGAGCTGGGAAGGTGGCTTGCGGTGGAGTGCTTGCCTGGCATGCATGAAGCCCTGGGAGCAAGTCCAAACAAACAGAAAAAGCCAGAACTGGCACGCGCAACTGGTAGGGTGCTAATGTTGAACAAAAAGCTCAGGGACAGTGCCCAGGCCCTGAGTTCAAGACCCAGGACTGGCAAACAACAACAACAAAAAAGCACAGGTGTGTGTGTGTGTGTGAGAGAGAGAGACCCTATCATCTCCTTGCTGGTTAAATGCAATGAGCCAGCAGGGGCTCCTGGGGCGGAGCCTTATCCCAGGGTGCCACTTTGGGTCAACTGTGGTTAAGACCTTGGATCTCTCTCCCTTTTTTTTTTTTGGGTCCAGTCATGGGGCCTGAACTCTGGGCCTGGGCGCTGTCCCTCAGCTCTTCAGCTCAAGGCTAGCGCTCTACCACTGGAGCCACAGCGCCACTTCCGGCTTTTTTCTTTTTTGCTTATGTGGTGCTGAGGAATCGAACCCAGGGCCTCAGGCATGCAAGGCAAGCGCTCTACCACTGAGCCACCTTCCCAGCCCAGACCTTGGATCTCTTGCAGCCTCAGTTTCCCCATCTATAAGCCTGGCACACATTGACATCACAGAATGGTACTGGGCACATAATAGGTGCACAGTGAGTGTCACGGTAACAGGTAACCCGCAGGGCTACTGTGAGGCTGAGCAGGTGGCTGAGGAGGTAAAGCCACCTGTCTGGGGTCGCACAGCTGGGCTGTGCAATGGAGGGCAGAGGATGAGACGAGGCCGAGTATGTGCTATGCCCCCCATGCTGTCACTGGACTATGCTATACATCCTTCCTGGAGTAAGAGGAGAAAGGAGGAGGAGGGAGGGGCGGGGGAGGGACCAGCCTGCCTGGGAGATGAAGGGGCTGATCTGCGTTTTGATCTGCATGAGTCGGCCCAGGCCTCGTTCCACGATGGTGGGGAAGTTGAGCAGCCTGAGCGTGTGGCCCGTGGGTGCCGTGTCAAATACCACCACGGAGAAGTTCATGCCCTTCACCAGCCTGAGGGGAGAGGAAGATGGGGCGGGGGAGGGGGAAGGTCAGGTCTGGCCTCTCCTCTGCCAGACAGCCCTGCCCCCCCCCCCACCAATGGCTGGGCCTGACCTCATGACCTCGGCATAGCTCATGGCCTCGTCGATACCCGGGAAGGCGCTCATGGCCTCCTGCATCATTTTCTTGCCCATGCTCAACATGTTGTCCTCCTCGAAGAACTCGTCGGGCAGCTCAGCCACACCCAGGCTGGGGTCGATCTCCTGGGGACCCGAGGGGACCAGAGTCAGGCGCCACGCCACAGGGGGCCTGTGTCTGTCTAACCACAGGCCTGCACGAGGCCTCAGCCCTGCCTTGGGGGACACAGGTTCTGGTACAGGCTTTTACAAGCCAAGCTGAAATTTGCCAACCGGGACTAGGGCCCCAAAGGCAAACTTAAACCATCCCTGGACTGTAAGGCCCTGTTCCCAGTCTGGAAGCTGGTTCCTGAACCTCTTCCAGGTCATTCTAAGGTGAGCCTTCCTTGAACACTGGATCTACTAGTAATGCCCTCCTCCTCACACCCCATGTAATTGTGTGTGTGTCCCTGAGCGTGTGTGTGTGTGTGTGTGTGTGTGTGTGTGTGTGTGTGGCAGCAGTCCTGAGGCTTGAACTCGGGGCCTTGGCACTGTCCCTGAGCTTTTGTTCTCAAGGCTAGCACTGTACCACTTTGAGCCACAGCTCTAGTTCTAGATTTTTCTGGTGGTTCATTGGAGATAAGAGTCTCATGGACTTTCCTGCCCAGGCTGGCTATGAACTTTGATGTTCAGATCCCAGTCTCCTGAGTAGCTGGGATGACAGGCGTGAGCCACGAGGGCCTGGCTGGTAACCCAGGGCTTGTGCTCTTGCTGAGCTTTTCTTGCTCAAGGCTGGCATTATACCACTTAAGCCACAGCTCCACTCCTGGCTTTTTGCTAATTGTAAATAAGAGTCTCTTGATTTGTCTGCCTGGGTTTTGAACCTGGAACCGCAGATGTCTGCCTCCCAAGTAACTAAGATTATAGACGTAAGCCGCTATCGCCTGGTGAGCATGGCTTTATTTTTTTGTAGGGATTGAACTCAAGGTCTTATGATTAGCCATGTGCAGATTTTCTATGTGCATTTTGCATTTTGAGATATGTTCTGAATAGCTTTGTTGGAGCTGGCTTATGACTCGAGACCCTCCAACTTTTGCATTGAATGTAAGTAGCTGGGATTATAGGTATGAGCCATCATACCCAACTTCAGCCTCAGCATTGAAACCTCCATGGGTCCCGCTATCCAATGTCTCTTGGCTGTCACCTTTATGCAGCCCACACCCCTTGGGTTGTTCCTCTAAATGCTTTCTTCTTTGTGTGCTTCTCCCCAGCTCTGACACTGCTACAACTAGGTGCAGTCATTCCTTTCCTGCTCCCTGTTCCCATACACACTTGTCAAGTCAGACGACTCTGGGGCCCTCTTGAGAGATGCTGATCTGGTGTCTTCCTCAAACCTTGCCGTTCCACTGACTGCTGAGGCCCTGGCCTCAGTGAGAACAAAAGTCATTGGCTGCCCCCAGCCTCATCTCCATCCTGCAAATACTCCAGCTCTCCATGTCTCTGTCTGCCCCTGACCCTGGCAGAAGCTACCTTCTGGCTCTGTGCTGTACAGAGCTCTCCCTGCCTGAGGACAGCGCTCTGCCTAAATCACTGCTAACCCATTCTCATCACAATCTAATATGCTTTACCATCAGTTTTCTTAAAAATATCCTCCCAAAGCCAGACCTGGTGCACACACCTGTACTGTAGTCCTAGCTACTTGGGAGGCTGAGGTAGAAGGATAGCTTGAGCTCAGGAGTTCCAGGCCATCCTGGACAACAGAGAAAAACCTCTTGTCACTGGGCACTAGTGGCTCACGCCTGTAATCCTAGCTATTCAGGAGGCTGATATCTGAGGATGGTGTTCTGAGGCCAGTCCAGGCAAGAAAGTCTTTAAGACTCATCTCTAATTAGCTACCAGAAAAAAGCTGGAAGTAGAGCTGTGGCTGAAACTGTAGAGCACTAGCTCTTGAGAAAAAATACCTTAGGCACAGTGTCTTAGCCCTAACTTCAAATCCCAACACATCAGCACTAAAGGAAAAAAAAAAAAGACCTCTTGTCTGGGAATCTCACTTAATGGTAGAGTACTTGCCGAGCCTTCATGAAGCTCTGGGTTCGACTCCTCAGTTCCACATACACAGAAAAAGGAGGAGGCGGTGCTGTGGTTCCAGTGGTAGAGTGCTAGCCTTAAGCAGAAAAGCTCAAGGGCCGGGCGCTGGTGGCTCACGCCTGTAATCCTAGCTACTCAGGAGGCTGAGATCTGAGGATCGCGGTTCAAAGCCAGCCCGGGCAGGAAAGACCGTGAGACTCCTATCTCCAATAAACCACCAGAAAACCAGAAGTGGCGCTGTAGCTCAAATGGTAGAGCGCTCGCCTTGAGCTGAAGAGCTGAGGGACAGCGCCCAGGCGCGGAGTTCAAGCCCCACGACCGACAAAAAAAAAAAAAAAGGAAAGCTCAAGGACAATGTTGAGGCCTTGGGTTCACGCCCCAGGACGGATAAGAAAAAAAAATGCCAGAAGTAGAGGTGTGGCTCAAATGGTAGAGTACCAGCTTTGAGCAAAAAAGTTCAAGGATAGCACCCAGGCTCTGAGTTCAAGTCAGTACCAGTGCAAAAAGAAATGAATAAAATAAATGGGGCACCCGTGGCTCATTACTGTAATCAAAGCTACTCAGGAGGCTGAGATCTGAGAATTACGGTTCAAAGCCAGTCCAGGTGGGAAAAGCCCTAAGACTCTTATCTCCAGTTAACCACTGGAAGTGCTGTGGCTCAAGTGGTAGAGCGCTGGCCTTGAGATGAAAAGATGAGGGACAGTGCCCAGGCCCAGAGTTCAAGCCTCACAACCAACAAAACAATAAAAAAAAGTGTAAAAGTAAAGTAAAAAAATAAAATACGCTGGGCACCTGTGGCTCAGGTCTGTAATTCTACCTACTCAGGAAGCTGAGATCTGAGGATTGTGGTTCAAAGCTAGTCCAGACAGGAAAGTCCATGAGCTTCTTATCACCAATAAACTCTTCAAAAACTGGAAGTGGCACTATGGCTCAAAGTGGTATAGCATTATCCTTGAGCAAAATAGCTCAGGTACTGTGCCCAGGCCCAAAGAGTTCAAGTCCCATGACCAACAATAAAATAAAATAAGAATACCTTCCCAGTAAACTCAGAATCAATGCCAAGCTACTCACAGTGGCTTGTAAGAACTCATACCATCATCTCTTCCTATTCCTCCTTAGCTTTGCATACTTTGCTTCAGTTGTTCCTTCCCATTCTTTGTCAGTTTGTACTCATTCCTCAGAGGGCATGTTAGGAAGGGGTGAAAATAGATAGGCCAGGACTTAATTGGTGGCTAGTGGTGTGCCCGAGCAAGAACTGAGTGTGAGCTGAGTCCTGCTTTACTTACCATGGCAAAGAGGTTGTCATAGCCTTTGACCTTGGTAGGCACCTTGGAGAACTTCTGGTCAAAAGCATCTGAGATATTGTGGGCTGGGTCTGTGGAGATGATGAGGACACTTTCCCGCCCCTTGGAGAGCTGGACTGCTAAGCTGCAGCTGTTAGAAGGAAAGGTTGAAAAGCTGATGAGTGAGAGGTTGGGCACTGGTCCAGTTTCTATCAGAGAAACCAGAGACTTGGCTTGGCAGGTTCGGTGGGGGAACTCGGTCAAGACATCACCTGTGATCCACAACGTGGACTAAGGGTAGGAAATAAGGTTTAGTTATTGATGGAGCTTGGCCTGGTACTGTTTTGCTAGGCACCCAGTGGCATAAACCAACCATCAGGCCGTCATAGGTTACCTGTGTTCCCTTCCTCAACCAACTCTGGGCCAGGAGGTTCTCTGCTTCCGGTTAAGATCAAGATAGTTCATGGCCCCAAGCGCAGGCGGGACTGGTACTCAAGCCTGTAACACCCGCTACTCTGGAGGCTGAGATCTAAGGATCACAGTTCAAAGCTAGCCGGGGCAGGAAAGTCTTGCCTCCAATTAGCCATCAGAAAGTCTGAAGTGAAAAAAAAACCTTGAGTGAAAGAGCTAAAGGACAGCCCCCCCCCCCCCCGCCCCCCAGATTCTGAACTCAAGCCCTGGGACCCTTACAAAAACAAAAAGTTCACGAGGGCCTCGTGTCCAGGATAATCTGCCCCCCGGGATCCGTTTACCTTGGAGCGGGTGGAGAGTCTGATCACGTGCCCTCCCCGCCCCGCCCCCACGGTAGGACAGCCGGCCCTGGGGGCCCTTCCTCTCCACTCGGGGCGGACTCGGGCGCCGTGGGGCTGAGGGGGACACCTGTGTGTCCCTCCACCCCTCCCCACGCCGGCCCCAAAAAGTGCGGGATTCCCCAGGTCCCGCACCTCAGCCCCCACAGCAGCGATCCGAGTCCGAGGATGACCCCGGCCTGCCGGCCTTCGGGAAGTCCTCTTGGCTACGGTTGGAACCCGGAAGACCCCCGGCGCTGCCGCCTCGGTGTCCGGCTCCCAGCGGGAAACGCCGGTCCCCCGGCCTCCCCTCGCCCGGGGTGGTACATCCCACCCGCCGCTCTGGCTGCGCCGCGGCCCTGCTCACCTGCAGGTGGTCTTGCCCACGCCGCCCTTGCCCCCGACAAAGATCCACTTGAGGCTGCGCTGCTCGATGATGTTGCTGAGCGTGGGCTCCAGCGGCTCCACATCAGGCGCATCCTCGAACTCGTCCGCCTCAACCCCCCACCCGGCCACTCCCGCCGCCATCTTGGAACCGGCTCACGTGACCGAGCGGAGCGCACCACGCGGCGCGCCTCCGGGGGGGGGCGGGAAGTGTGCCCCCCGCGTTCCTCCTCGAGGCCGCGCGGGAGAGCACAGAAACCATAGCTTCGCGCTTCCGTGTTTCCAGCCTCCACCTCGCGCACCTCTTGACTCCACTTTTCCAGGATTCCCCCTACCTCAGGGCCGTGTTGGTACGGTCCGGATCCCTCCCCTCTTCTGATTGGACGGTAAGTCTTGCAGCCCTCTTTCCATTGGTGACATCTTTTCTTACTTCCACCAATCATTTCCACGTCCCGGTAGCCGCCGTCCTCTCCTTAGCAACCAGCCAAACACCCGAGTCCAAGTTGGTTCCCCGAAGTGAGAGCCGAGGTCCCGCCCGGCCTCGAGTCTGCAGGCTTCCTTTCGTGTCCGTCACTTCTCTAACTTGAGTGAGGCCGGCCGCCTCGGTTATTCCCCTGGCTGTGAGACATCTAGACAGGTCCCCGGGCTGACGGTGGTGTGTAAGGAAACACGATTCCAGTTCTGGGCAGAGTCCACGCACTCTGGGCAGGCCCTCCATGCTGGGCAGAATGTATCCCTGTAACCGTATTTCTTGTGTAAGAGGCTCGAATTCCTGAAAACCTCCTTGCACTTGGCTTCCTGTTTGAAGGTAACTCCAAGTTCAGCGAATTCCCTTTTGACTTGAACCCCTGACCTGGAGAAGGAATACAAGCGGTGTCCCAGTTCCTCGGCGGGGATTGCCATCTTAGAACACGTTTAACCTTCGGGGGGTGGGGAGGAACTCAACCTAGAAATATCCCTGGCTCCAATTGGCGAACCCCAGGTCGCAAAATTACCTTATTATTGGAGTCTCCAGCTCCACGGAGCCAGCTGTATTCTATTCTCAGACGCAAGTGCCTAACCTAGAAAACCTGCCATTTGTAGCCAGGGGGAGGGTGTCCCAGATTCGATGTGCCTTTTAGACCTATGAAAGAACCTGAGTTCCAATGTGTCAGTTGAATGAATATACAGCCCCAAACGGGGCACTTGCACTCACAAGGATTGTTCCTAGTGGCAGATGGGGGCTTTTAGGTAATGCTTCCAGTCCCGTGCGGGAATTCCAGTTGGGAACACCAGCTGACAGTCCCAGTCCGAGACGACAATCCCCTTCCGGAGGACCGTGCGTGTCCGCGAAACGCAAACTTGAATCGGACTCGAGTTTGAGAATCCAGGGGCGGGGCGTCGGGACGCCACGCCCCTCGCGTGCTTTGGCGCTCCAGCCCCGCCATTGCCCCGCCCCCTCGGCGGAGGCTTCCGGGGCTCCGACGTCTCTTCCCGGCGTGCACTGCTCCGAACCTTGACAGTCGGGCGCCAAGCGCGGGGCCGGAGTGGCCTTCCCAGAGTCCTTTGCGCGGCACCTGGCGACAAGATGGCTGCCCGAGGGAGACGGGCGGAGCCTCCAGGCCGGGAGGCGCCAGGCCCTGCGGGCGGTGGCGGGAGCCGATGGGCCGAGTCGGGGCCCGGAACGTCACCCGAGAGCGGGGACGAGGAGGTGGGCGCCGGTTCGAGCCCGGTGTCGGGCGGCGTGAACTTGTTCGCCAACGATGGTAGCTTCTTGGAGCTGTTCAAGCGGAAGATGGAGGAGGAGCAGCGGCAGCGACAGGAGGAGCCGCCCCCGGGCCCGCCGCGGCCCGGCCAGCCGGCCTCCACCGCCGGCGGCCCCGGGGATCCGAAGAGGAAGGGCGGCCCGGGCCCCACGCTCAGCTTCGTAAGGAGCCGCGGGGTGGGGGCGGGCGCCGGCGCCAGGCCCCGCCTTGGCACCGGGGAAAGCGGGTCCCGAGGAGGGATCGAGGGCCAGGCCCACACTCCGCCGCCATGAGGGGACCCTCCCGGGGTGGACGCTGGGTTCCCGACGAGAGGAGGCCCGGGGCGGGGGGGGCGGGAGTGGGTACCCCGTAGCCTACCCGCGGGAGAACCGGAGAATTGCGCTCGGAGCCGCACTCTGGCCATAGGGAAAATCCTAGACACCAAGGTTGCATGTGTGAGTGGAACCCGGACTTGGATACTGGCGACACCCTATAAATGTGGGAAGGGGGGGCAAGTTGAGAACCCCAAGTTGATCTACGTGTAATTAGGCTTAGACCGCTGTGTGGCCTTAGGATGTACGCTTGACTTCTGTAAACCTCACGGAACCACTGTCCGTTTATTGAGTACCTGGGTGCTCAGTCACTTAACATGATAGAAAGGATCGCAGTTTTGTTTTTGTTTTCAGCTTGGGCAGGTCTACCCTTTTTCTCTTCACAAAAAACAAAAAAAAGTCAATTTTTTTTCTTTTGTTCCCCCGCCCCCTTCCCAGTGAACTAATCCCTGCATTATAGCATGAACCTAAAGCAGGGGTATCTCAACTAAAGACCGTCATCATCTCCTCCCCTCCCCCCCTGCACGGCAAAGTCTGGAGACATGTTTGGGTGTTAAAACTGGACGAGTGGCTAGTGACATCTATGGGTGATGGCTAGGGACTCTGCTTGACAATGCATAGAACAACAAAGAATGATCTAGTTCAAAATGCCAGTGCCAGGTTAAGTATTTCCAGGCTGAATTAATGAGCTGTATACAGATTGTTAACCCTAAGCTTGTCTCTGGTGTTGGCATCAGTGTTGATATAAGAATAACAGACTGGGAAGTGGTGCTGTGGCTCAAGTGTTAAAGTGCTCGCCTTGAGCTGAAGAGCTGAGGGACAGCGCCCAGGCCCAGAGTTCAGGCCCATGACCAAAACAAAACAAAAAAACAACAAAAAGAGAATAACAGGCTGACTGGGCATCGGTGGCTCACGCCTGTCATCCTAGCTACTCAGGAGGCTGAGATCTGAGGATCACAGTTCAAAGCCAGGCCAGGCAGGAAAGTCCCCATGAGACTCTTATCTCCAATAAACCATCCAGAAAACCGGAAGTGGCGCTGTGGGACCTTGAGCTGAAGAGCTGAGGGATAGCGCCCAGGCCCAGAGTTCAAGCCCCGTGACCAAAACAAAACAAAAATACAGTGTCCAAGCCTGAGTTAAAGCCCCATAACTGACAAAAAAGAAAAACCAGACTTGGGTAGGCGGGGATCAAGCCTGGGATTCAGCTTTGTGGTGTGGGGCAGGCCTCACTTCATCTAGTAAAAATGGTGTGTGAGGATCTGAGGGTTGTTGTTTGAAGTCAGCCTGGGCAGGAAAGTATATGAGACTCTTATTTCCAATTAGTTACCAAGAAAAGCTGGAAGTGGAGCTATAGTTCAAGTGGTAGAGTGTCCAGCCCTGAGTTCAAGCCTCCCAGGTCTGGTACAAAAAAAAAGGAGGCGGGGGGGGGAATGTCTGGGAGCCAGGTGTTGGTGACAAATGCCTGTAATCCTAATTACTCAGGAGGTTGAGATCTGAGAATCACAGTTTGAAGAAAATCTGTGAGACTCTTATCTCCAATTCACCAAAAAGCTGAAAGTGGAGCTGTGGCTTAAGTAAGTGGCTTAAGAGCACCAACCAGCCTTGAGTGAACAAAGAGGCCCTGAGTTCAAGCACCCTGGACTGGCACCAAAAAAAAAAGTCTGTGTGGACTGGAAATGTGGTTTGGTGACTGTGCACTTAACATGTGGGAAGCCATGGGTTCAATTCCCAGCACTGTCAAAAGTGGGGGAGAAGCCGGGCGCCGGTGGCTCCCGCCTGTCATCCCAGCTACTCAGGAGGCTGAGCTCTGAGGATCGCGGTTCAAAGCCAGCCCAGGCAGGAAAATCCGTGAAACTCTTATCTCCAATAAACCACCAGAAAACCGGAAGTGATGCCATAGCTCTAGTAATAGAGCGCTCGCCTTGAGCTGAAGAGCTGAGGGACAGCGCTTAGGCCTAGAGTTCAAGCCCCACGACTGACCCAAAAAAAAAAAAAAGTGGGGGAGAGGGACAGGGCTGTTGTAGCAATACCTGGTATCTAGCTGGTTGAAGTGCAGGCCCTGACATACAGAAAGTCTCCAGTCAAGGGGAGTGGAGAAGATAGTGAAAACCCAGAGTGAAGTTTTCCTGTGGCAGAAGTGTATGTCAGGTCCCTGGGTAGATACGACAGCAGCACTAGTCCCACTGTTGCTACTGTCCCTGTCACATTAATTGAGGGGACATTGAAGGCACACATACACACACATACAACACTAGCAACAAATGACAGGTTGAGGACAGGGAGTTAGTGTCCCTTGGGCAAGGTTCAGGGTGCTGACCAAGTGGCTCAGTTCCACCTGGCTGTGGGAGCCTGCTCTGCCCCTCCCAGAGTCTTTCCAGGGCTATAAAATGGTTCTGAGAAGGTGCAAGACAATGACTCCTGTACTCACAGGGCTCCACATACTGTAGGTGCTCACTAAAGGGAGCTATAGCCCCCTACAGTGTCCAGGGAGGGCAGCCCAGGATCTAGGACTGCCTTGGCATGGTGGCCCCCCGCCGGGGCAGGCGCTGAGTCGCATGTGCTCCTCTGATTGCTGCGCAGGTCGGCCGGCTGGTGGAGCTGGGCACCCCGTCGAGACGGGCCGGGCCGCCAGGCCGGGCTAGGAAGGTGTAGTGGGCCTCAGCGCCGCCCAGGGCGGGCCCGGCTCCTGTAACCCTTGCAGTCTTCTGTCCCTTCACCCAGGTGGGCAAACGCAGAGGCGGGAACAAACTAGCCCTCAAGACGGGAATAGTAGCCAAGAAGCAGAAGACGGAGGATGAGGTGAGCAGGCGGGTCAACTCTGTTCCCAGTGGGTGAGCCTCTGCCATTCCTGCCCTGCCCCTGCCCCTGCCCCGTGGCTGGTGGGCAGAATTTCCCACCAGTCTCCAGACAGCTGGGCCCGCACGTGCTTCCCATAAACCCCAGGCCTTCCGGGGGCCCCTGGGGATGGTTCCTGGCCCCTTAACCTCCTTGTCTTCATCTGCGCCCCCTCTCACAGGTATTAACAAATAAAGGTGACGCGTGGGCTAAGTACATGGCAGAAGTGAAAAAGTACAAAGCCCACCAGTGTGGCGACGATG